TATGAAAAAATAAAATTGATCAACCTTTAGCCATGCTAACCAAGAGAAAGAGGGGGAAAACTCAAATTTCTAAAATTAGTTATGAAATAGGAAATATCACCACAGACACCACTGAAATTCAGAAGATAATCAGAAACTATTTTGAAAATGTGTAGTCCAATAAAATAGAAAACCTTGAAGACACCAACAAATTTTTAGAGACATATGACCTACCCAAATTGAATCAGGAGGTCATAGAAAATTTAAACAGATTAATTTCAATCAATGAAATTGAAGATGCCATCAAAAACCTACCAACAAAGCAAAGCCAAGGACCAGATGAATTCTTAGCCAAGTTATATCAGACCTTCTAAGAAGAATTAACACCAATCTTCCTCAAACTAGACCATGAACTAGAAAAAGAGGAACCCTTCCAAATTCATTCTGTGAAACTAGTATCACCCTGATTCCAAAACCAGACAAAGATACAACAAGGAAAGAAAACTTTAGACCAATGTGCCTGATGAACATAGATGCAAAAATTTTTATTAAAATACTGGAAAATCACATGCAAAAACACATTAAAATATAGTACACCATCATCAAGTAAGCTTCATTCCAGAGACACAAGGTTAGGTCAACAATATGGAAATCAATAAATATAATTTCACCACATTAATAGTCTTAAAGACAAAAATCACATGATTATCTCAATAGATGAAGAAAAATCATTTGACAAAATACAGCATACATTCATGTCCAAAACACTAGAAAAGCTAGGGATGATAGGAAAATACCTCAACATTGTAAAAGCTATATACGTAAAACCCAAGGCCAACATCATTCTGAATGGAGAAGAACTGAAAGCATTTCCTCTAAAAACATTATATTATAGTAACAAAACAGCATGGTATTGGCACCAAAACAGACATGAAGATCAATGTTACAGAATAGAAGACATAGAAACAAATTCACATAAATACAGTTATCTTATACTAGACAAAGACGCCAGAAACATACATTGAAGAAAAGAGCCTCTTTAACAAATGGCGCTGGGAGAACTGGAAATCCATATGTAGCAGAATGAAATTTAATCCCTCTCTCTCACCCTGCACAAAACTCAATTCAAAGCAGATCAAGGACCCAGGCATTAAGACCAGAGACCCTGTGCTTACTAGAAGGAATTGTAGGCTCAAGTCTCATCAGGAACCAATTTCCTCCACAAGATTCCTAAAGCACAAGAAGTAAAATCAAGAATCAACAAATGGGATGGTATCAAACTAAAAAGTTTCTTCACAGCAAAAGAAACAATCAAGAATGCAAACAGAGAGCGTACAGAATGGGAGAAAATCTTTGCCACCTTCATCTCAGAGCATTAATCTCCAGGATATAGAACGAACTTAGAAAATTTAACACCAAAAGACAAATAATCCAACCAATAAATGGGCAAAGGAATAGACACTTCACAGAAGAAATATGAATGGTCAAGAAATATTGAAAAAAATGTTCAATATTTTAAGCAATTAGGGAAATGCATATTAAACTACACTGAGTTTCCATCTCACTCCAGTCAGAATGACAATTAACAAGAATACAAGTAACAATGAATGTTGGTGAGATGTAGGGAAAAGGCACACTCATACAATGCTGATGGGACTGCAAATTGGTACAACTACCCTGGAAAGCAGTATGGAAATTCTTCAGAAAACAGAATGAAACCACCATTTGACCCAGTTACCCCACTCTTTAGTATATAGCCAAAGGATTTAAAATCAGCATACTACAGCGACACAGCCACATCAATGTCTATAGCAGCTCAATTCACAATAACTAAGCTATGGAACCAACCTAGGTGCCCTTCAACAGTTGAATGAATAAAGAAACTGTGGTATATATACACAATGGAATATTGCTCAGCCATTAAAAAAGAATGACTCTATGACATTTGCCAGAAAGTGGAATGAATCTGAAGACTATTATCTAAGCAAAATAAGCCAATCCCTAAAAACCAAAGCCCAAATCTTCTTTCTAATATGTGGATGCTAATACACAACAAGGGGGGGGGGAATAGAATTTCGGTAGATTAAACAAAGGGAAATGAAGGGAAAGGAGGGGGGACAGGAATAGGAAAGACAGTGGAATGAATCTCACTTAACTTTCTCACATAAATATATAAATACACCACAGTGGATCTCCACATCATGTACAACCACAAGACTGGGATCCTAATTAGAATAGGATGTCCTCCTTGTTTGTATGTCAAAATATTTTTTAAAATAAGATGACCAAATTACGTCATGGGAATGTTCAAATATGTCACAATGAATCACACTATTACATATAAGTATAATGCATCAATAATTTTTAACATGAGCATGCTGTGTGTACCACTACACATACAAATTTGACGACTTAGATAAAATGGGTCAGTATCTAGGAAAACACAAACTTCTACAATTCACCAATCTAAAGCAGATCATTTGAATAGCCCTAAAACTATTCAGGGAATTGAATTTATAATTTAACTCCCCCCAAATATTATCTTATTGAAGAATTATGACAAGAAGGAAATGGAATAGAAGTGAGGCCAGCAGAGGCTTCAGGTTACTCAATAAACAGACACAAATCAATTGCATTTCTCTGTACCAATGCACATGTGGACACAGAAATTAAACATGCAAACACAATACTATTTACAATTGTTCAAGAAATACTGAGGTATAAGTCTAACAAATTGTTACAGGACTCATATGCTGAGAACAAACAAAATTCTAATGAAA